GAGGTGATGGCGTAAAATGCGCAACGTCTCCTTCCATTTTGGTCAGCGGTTACAAACGTCATGGAAGTTAATATGTTGCATAACTTTTTTAGTCAAACCTTTTCACAAATTCTGCTCAATACTGTATTGCTGGGTCTTGTTTCCCCAGGCATTAAATATTACACATCTAGAATCATCAAAAGCAGATGATCGAAAGAACTTTGAGAAACAGATCAGCGATTTAAAGAAATCCCTCAACGACAAAGAGAAAATGTTATCCTCAGTCCAGACTGAATTGCACAAGGTTTGTTCCATTTATTCTTGCTGTTATTCTTTCCCATTTAATTTTACACCCATTTATTTTTCACACATTTTCTGTCATCTTCAGTGGCCATTTTTTAAATATAGACGGTTGGTAATAATATTTGTATCAAAGCTAGAAAACATACCTGGTTTGTTAACTTTAAAAAATATCTATATTATCCCAATCAGTTTTTTTCGGGTATCGTTTGTCTAAACAGAGATTCCAAAAACTAAACAAAAAAAACAAAAACACGTTTAAATGTTCATACTTGCCAGGAATCGCTTTACTCGACCGATAAGGCTGCGTTCATAATGTATGGCAGGGGGGGGGAATTTGAAATTTCAAACCCTGAGATCGTAACCCATTGGAACGTCTATGATTCTTTTCTCACAAATGTAAGTCATGACCAATATAGGTTTAATAATCTACGCAGAAACCTTGTCACACCGACAACTAGGATTGGTGGTCAACAACATACTTTATTGGAGGATTATTGCAGTCTTCCACATCGCAATTTTCAAGACTTTATTTCAGGTTTTGCTCATACATGGTCGACTTTGAATACTAATGAGCAATGGAACAGTGAACAATACCTCCCCATTYCAACAAGAATTACAGCACGGCCCAGGAATATGAACATGTATTATAAACGACCCAAGCAGAACAATTTGATTACAATTGCACGTACACCTATGGTTCCGTCTTTCAAACCAAGTTCAGCGATGCATTTCAGCTTATTAAATACAAGATCACTTAAAAACAAAGCATCACTCGTGCATGATTACGTTGTTGACCGCAAAGTAGATATCATGGCTTTAACAGAAACCTGGCTTTCTCCCGGGAACATCGACGAAATGGAAATAAACGAGATTGTGCCCGATGGTTATGCATTTCTACATGTCCCGAGAGAAACACGTGGCGGTGGAGTTGCTGTTGTCTATAGAAAGTCTTTGCATCTAAAGCACAATAACAAGAATCTGAAGTTTCAATCGTTTGARCATATGGATTTAACCGTGAAATCAGTATCAAAGTCTATACGAATAATTGTTTTATATCGGCCTCCACGGTCAAAAGGAAATAACTTAAATGAATCCATCTTTTTCAGCGAATTCTCAACTCTACTTGAAGAACTTGTACCTGACCGTGGTAGTGGAAATGTCCTCATCGCAGGGGATTTCAATTTTCATGTGAATGATGAAAATAATGTTTCAGCTAAGAAGTTCCTTGATCTTATCACATCATTTGACTACAAAAACCATGTGCGTACCGCTACTCACAAGAAGGGCCATACCCTGGACCTGCTTCTAACTAGATCCGAGGACAAATTTGTATCGAATATTGATGTGATTGACCCTGTCATCTCTGATCATTCTGCGGTGAACTGCAAACTGTTACTTGCTAAACCAACACATATAAGGAAGCAAGTGAKTTTCAGAAACATAAAATCGATAAATCTTGATTCGTTTCGTGATGATCTAAAAAATGCTGGTTTCCCTGAAGCATCCAGTACATCTAATCTTGTTGAGTCTTATGAAAGCACACTGTCTACACTACTGGACGCCTA